TTAGTTAATTAGTTTTGATCGAATAGTTGAGTAATTTGAAGTCAAAAAATATTTTTGGCAATACAAATATTTATAAGCATTAATTAATAGAAAAAGATCTATTAGATACAAATCGCTAATTAACAATAAATTATGCTTCCGAGCAAATATAAATTTGACGACTGAAGACAGTGAAAACGATGTCGTTCAGCGTAATTCAATTCCTTCTGTCGATTGGCGAGAAATAAAAAACAGAAATTTCTTTCTCTCCCTCTCTCTCTTCTCCTTCATCTATATTCATAGGGAATGAGTCCCGTTCAGCAATTAATAGTAGCAGGATTCTCCATAGCAAGATGGAGACGAGTTGTTGGAAATAATTATGATCTTTTCGTTTTTCATCGCGCCTGCGTCTTACGCCGTAATCGGTGGCAGCTCCGCCGTCGTTTCTACGGCGAAATCGTAGGAAAAAACGAACGTTTATGCCGACAATTCATAAAGCAGTGTCATTTCATCGTATTTACAAACCGGTCGCGCCGCCGGCCGTCCAGGTAGAAAGATATTAAAGTGATTTCCGTCCGCCCGCCCGCCCCGCGCCCGCGCCTCGCCACGCGCGTCGCCGCGCTAATTGCTCCAGGAATACCGGGAGCCGGTGAAACACCTACTTAAACTAGCATACCGCCCGACAATCGCCTCGAGTGTAAAACGCCTCGCGGGTTTTCGCGCCCGGAAAAGTACCGGCGATTAAATAACACGGTTATTGTGTTCCCTTGTTACGCGACGCCAGGCTCGGATTCGATCTCGGCGATAAAATCATTGCATAATGACAGACGTAAAGATCTACGGATTTGCAGTTATGCAATCAAACATTAATATCAAAGTTATCGTTAAGAATCAGACGCCTTTTATTGGCCTTGTTTCAATAATCGAATTGTTAATTTAGTTATTTCATTTCAATTTCTTTTGATATCAAATCGTTTATTAGAGTTTTCCATACACGGAAAGAACTATTTTGTTGAAAGGTCTAAAAAGTTTGCTAAATACAGATTTGAAAATAATTTTTCGTTAAATCATCAAAATAAATTGTTGAAATGTTAAAACTGATAAGCACTGCTATAAAACGTTTTCATATTCTAGCAATCATTTTAACTTTCGCATAAAATTATTTTGATTATTGAACAAAAAATATTTTCAGATCTAGCAAAATCGTTCTTTCCGTGTAAGAAACCGATTTTTATTTGCATCTGCATGATAGTAAACTTTTTTCGAAATCTGCAATTGAAATTTGCAATCGAATGTTAGGATAATTTTACGAATAAGGTATTTTTTTTTTACAGAAATAATTTCTGGAAGAGATTGCGGTTCGAACGCCGAACGAAATAGCTTATGAATTTTCCCCGTCTCTTTCGCGTTCGCTCTATCGCTTAATACGTGTAAGAACAGCCATCAAGCTTGTTCCTAATTAGGAGCTCTTCGGTTCCTCGGTACTTTTGAAGAGTTCGCCGTGACGCGTTTGCATCGGCCGCGGACTTTCTTGCGGCCGTAGCGAATAACTTTCTCGCCGTAAATGCTTCGATGCCGCCTCGATCAGCTTCGTAAATTTTCTACGAAGTCGGAAACAGGATTTCATCTCGATTCATCTCGCCGGCAATTACCGGCAACGGCACATGATCCGCGTTCTCGCTTTATCGATGCGCCCGATTCGTGGTGTGTTTCGAGCGACGACGCGATTATTCTATGATTGTATCGCGAGACGCGTTTCCGAAGCTCAGTATCCTTAAAAGTATACAAGGCGCACATCTTTGTATGCACGTGTTACTCTTCAATCCCATACGAACTAAAATAATCTTTGTATAAAATAAGCATAGAAACTTGAAACTGGAAATTATATATAAATCTTCATCTAATTGTATAATGAATGTTCTCGGAAAAAGAAATGTTGAAGGAACAAATAAAAAATAAATAAAATTTAAACAAGTATCGTACGTCTATGTACTTTCAATAAATTTCTCTATTGTAATATTTTCGAATCTATAATTAAAATTGCGACATAATTAATTATATAATATTTACTTTATTCTTTAGAATAATTCCTGTTCCCGATTCTCCATAATCTTCAACAAAAGACACGAATCTACAAAGTTATTTATTATATTCCTCGGAATAATTCCCGTTTCGGATTTCTCCGTAATCCCCGGCGGAAGACACGAATTCGAGCACCGGTACACCCGGTTTGAAACAGTGGCAGGCTTCCAATTAGGATGGAGGCTCCTTGCCTTGAATAATGCCACCGAGGTCTCCTTCTCTTTCGGCGCTGCGCGATTGACTTTCCGTGGTGTCTTTGGTCTTTCCCTTGTATAAATTAGTCCCAGCCGCCACATAATGGCGTGTCGATGCGCTACTGTCGCCCGGACGGTCCCCTTTATCTAGTTTACTCTTTTAGTTTTTCGTTAATCTTTCGTCTATCTATTCTCTCTCTGTCTCTCTCATTTTTCAGCACCTACTCGCGTTTTTCTTCGTCCTTCCTTTCGTTTGTCTCTCTTCTACTAGCCGCGTATTCAGCCGTTCCTCTCACAACAGAGCTTCAGTCGGCACCGTTCCGTTTTCTTCATCCCGACCGCTCGCCCGCTCGTCAGACCGGGCCGCTTAATTTACGACCAATTAATTTGGATAAACTGAATGAGTGGAGACCCGCTTTCGATGCACGCGTTAACCGTGAATACTTCCCCCTCCACTCCTAACCCTTTCGGTCCATCTCATTCAACACGTTTTCGTTTTGTTTCTTAAATCTTTCCGACGGACACACTTGACTACTTCGTAGCGTTGGTGAAGTTAATAAAAAAATACGTCGAAAATGTTATTTTCTAAATGGAAATGGGATGTAATTAAAAAAATGTAATTAAAAAAATAAATATTTAAAACAAAAAGATTCTTCAATACTTTCTATCTTATTTGCTTTCAATGCGTGTTCGTATATTTTTCTGCACTATCGCTAGTTTTTGGAAAAAATTAATGCAGCAAAAAGTAAAATAACTTGAACGCGATATAAATAAAACATCAATTACCTTTCTTTCTAAAAGATTAAAGATCAGACATAACGAAAATCCGAAAACATGAAAAATTCAACTTTTTCATGCTGAAGGTTTTTTCTGACGTCTGACTTTGGAGTCAAGATCGAAAGAGAGAGAGAGAGAGAGAGAGGAGAAGAAATTGAAATCCGTTGTTCCGCGTAATGAAGACGCAGACGTTATTCCTCTCTTGCGCGACTTACGTTTTATGAATCACATTGTTAGTGGCGCGGCCGCTCGCAACGATCGACGTTCGCCTTACGAGCGAGCCACCCGGCGGCGCGGCGAAGTGCCGTGGCGTTCGGTGTCGTCGATGGGCCTGCTTGGTATTCCGCTCCGGTCCGAGAGCATAATTGGACGCCAACTGGCGACGCTCCTCCGCGTATCGCGAAGACAAGAAATTATTCTTTAATTAATTGTCAGCGCTCAATGTGGCCGTATGCGTAGGATCGGCCGGCCACGGTACATAAATTTTATCTATATGGGAGCGCCGACTCTCTGAGGCGCGCCGAGAAGCGCGCCGAGAAGCGGAGGCGGCCTGGCGGTCTTTGGAGAACGTAAGCAGGGAGAAGGAGAGAAACGAGGGATCACCGAACAGCTTCCGAGCTTCCACACGGGTGGTGACTGGTGAATATCTGGCGCCTGTTTGTAAAGTCTTTAACGGCGAATCGTCTTAAAGGATCTCTTTGCGCTTTGCCACCTGTCCCGCGACGATTGATCCCTGAGATGTATTTGTTGTATGTTCAATCTCTGATTTACGGAAGAATTCGATCGTTCTCAATTAATCGGTAATTTAATGCGCGAGACAAAGAGAGATTTATTACAGATTAAAAGATTTAAAGATCCATAAATCTAAACGCTTTTTTTTTAATCTAATCGAGAAGATTCGTCTTTCTAATTTCCTTTATTTGTCTTAAGGAATTTGTCGCCGTTATAGGGACTATTCACAACTATCGGTTCGTGTTCTTGTAAACGTTTTCGTTTTCAGTACTGTACAATATATTACCAGATAGTCGTCACAAATCAAGCTTATATAAGGGGAAATCGAGTGCACAAATCGGTTATCCCGGAATATTGGTAAATCTTGCCTCTCGCGAGCCATTGACGCCTCCGAACGTCGCGCGGTTGCATAAAATACGGAGATGACATGGCAATTATCAGGGACGGGGTACTCGGCGTCTCTCTCCTCCCTCCCTCTCTCTCTCTCTCTCTCTTTCGTGGAAAGTTGCGCGTTGCCGAAATAAAGGACGCCAGGCGCTGCAGGCGCCTATGGCCCCACACCGTAAAGCGAGACAGGTGCAACCACACGACGAGGACGCAACGCACAAATATGATAACGGCGAACGAGCTGCCCCGCCAGGTAAGTGTGTTAGTGCCGTCTCCACTATATATATTTTATAATTAGCCGCGGGCCCTCTCCTCGATAAATCAGCGCGCCGCCCAGGCTTAAGACTTAATTAAAAATTTAGTCAAAAACCAATTAGCAGCCACGACGGATTAACATATTTCTAATTATCTGGCGGACACTTTCGGCCGCCTTATCGACTACTTGCCATATATGAAGCCGACCTGTCGATGACTGTGCGATACATACGATCGCGCCGGGGCAAATCTTCCGCGCGTGTATTTTCTCTCTCTCCCCCCCTCTCTCTCTCTCTCTCTCTCTCCGCCCGGCTTTTAATATGATGCCTTATTTGAGAAGCTCGATCAATATTGCATCGATTGTATTATTTGCAAATTAGTTAACTGCGTAAAATTTGGATTGGTAAAGTCGATTTTTTACTAATAATTTTCAGGAACTTTTCAAGGAAATTGCTTTTCATGCATTTCTTGTTAACTTTAAGAGCTTAAAAAATATAGCAAAATTTTTATTCTATAGCGCAGTCTATCTATATTCAATATATTCCGTACAATAGAATGTTTCACCGAGGATGGAAAGATCGACGGGAAGAAACGTAAATACTGAAATCTTTTATTTCGCTATAATGTACTTCCATGGATAAATTATCATCTTACATTTATACAAGGCGCATAGGTACGTCTAGAACCACGCCACATTCGTAACGTTAGCTTTTTTTTTTACTGTCTATGATCGATTCCGTCTCCCTCGATTCACAATCGACACAAGTTTATATATAATTTACACTTGCCTTGCACTTGCCTTCTTGTCTTCTTGCATAGAAAAAAAAATTCAACAAGTCTGAAAGATATTGAGATTAGGTGAGCTATGAACTGTGCACTTGCCGATTAGGAATAAATGGTCCTTTATTTGTGGCAGCTATCAAAAACATTACCGATGTCCCTAATGCAACTCTTAAAAATTTCATGATTGACACTTATAGAAAAAAAAATTTCTCTAGATATAAATGAATAAATTCATTTTTTTTAATATAAGGAATTACTTTCGGGGAACGACTGTTACATTTGGTTTCGACGCTTGGTTGACCCTTTCTCTTTTAATGCTCTCAGACTCGGAATTGTTTAAACGTACCTCGCACATTCACGTCGCTGCATTCTCTCTCTCGACCGGTCCACATTAAAAACACATCCGTGAAACGAACGTTTGCTAGGGTCCAGCGCGGTTCAAATCGCTAACTCTCGAACGCTCGTTCCTCGCGGTTCCTCTTCTTGGAGGGTAATCGAAGCGTCCTGTACACGTGTGTATATACATACGTACACCCATAGTTACCGTACGAACGCGTATCTATTTACACTATGTACACTCGTGCTTTCTCTTGAGATCAAAGTTTCGCGCCGATATACATCGTACTTCATCGTCCCGAGAAAATTATCGCGACGATGCTTCTTCGAGCTACAGGTCCTCCCGAACCGACCGAGCCTCGGACTTAACGTATTGAAACTCAGATTATCTGTACCTCTCTGGAGATAAGAACGTCCGGATTAACGTGCGAGTATCGGCCATTGCGTAGCCCGCTCCTAGCCAATTTTGACTTCCAACGCTAAGTGGTGGATCCCAATATCCTCGGTACCGGTAGAAGATTGGACAATTAAACTCGGGCGGAAGGTGAACTAATAAATAAGAGCGGTCGAGAACTTTCAGGCAATTCTCCCTCTTCGCGTGAAAGAAAGATCACTTAAAATCCGTTTTGCGAATTTATTGCTGATTATTTTATTAGGCTTCTTTTGATCTTTCGATTTCTCCGGAATCTTGAGCTCTAAAATTTTTAGCTCTTAATCCCTTGAATCTCCGATTCGCAATTTTTCTCTTTAGCTTTTAGATCTTCGAGCTCTTAGGTTTTTCGATCACTATAGCTTCGTAGATCCTCGCTTTCTCCAGTTCCTAATTGTCAGATCGTTCTTCGTAATGGCCTCTTCAGATTAATGCGCGAGTATCGTCCGGAGTTTGGATTCTCTCTCGGATTCTCGAATATACGCACAGGTTTCAGTATCCATGAATTCTTGACAATTCATAGATTCTGCGATTCATCGGATCCCCAATTTGTAAGCAAACAGGATCTTCAGACGATGACATCAAGAATGATTTCGAATTACACGCGTATTACATCTTGGTATGCCATTATTAAGGTCGGTGCCCAGGCGGCCCCATAAACATGGCCGCCGCCGTAGCCGCGGCATGGGTGTGCCTCGCCATGGCAGCTGCAATGAAGGGAGGCACTCCTGGGGTACCGGGCGGGCCCACCCCGGAGAACATTAGCCCCGATCCGAAACTGGGGTGCAGCAGGGGCCTCGCGGATAGTCTTAACTTCTCTATTTCCGCCTCCTGAAGCCGCTTCGCCTTGGCTCGTCGGTTTTGAAACCAGATCTTCACCTGGAACATTACAGTGTTCTCGATTAGGGCGATAACGAACGAACTGACGCTATAAAAATGTCCGTCCACTTATCGCTTCTTCATTAATTCCTCGAGTATCCCTCGGGCGACGATACCTTAGCTTGAGATGTAACATAATACAGGCTTTAAACATTTTTATAATGTCGGTGGCAATATAAAGTCTGTTCAGAGAGAGAATCGATGGTAGTTTAAAATAGAATACAAGTCAAGTCAAACGAGTTAAGATTTTTATTACGCTAATTACGACAATTATCGCAACGTTTTTTGTAGCAGCAAAATTAATCAGTAATATTTGAGAACGAATCCTTTATCTACGCCATTCGCCAAGTCGTTAAAAATAACACCGAATAACGTAAGAAATATCATAGATTCTATACCGTCGTGTTGCATTATACCGCGCGACACGCCTGCAAACATTACATAAGTGCCATTATTGGTCGACGTCGCGTTTAACACATCAGCGGCTGGAGATTTACAATCGGCAAATAGCACATTCAAACCACGCGAGCTACTGCGAACCTACCTGAGGACCTGCGATTTAATAAAATTATGCAGTAATCTATTAATTAACGCGCGTCGCGACGTCGAGAACGTGCATGGCCGGGAACAAATAAAGATTTTCTGCGTAAAACACGCGCGAGCCATTTAGCAACGTCATTAGACAAAACGGCCGGCGGAACGTCCAGCTTCCAGCAGGAAATTATCGACGTATCGAGAAGTCCCCCCGACGTCATAAGACAGCGACACGCCTAACGCTCGAGTTTATACGCGCAGACGTGCCGGGTCAACACTAAATCGCGTTTAATTGTTATTTGCACAGTCGCTCGCAAATCGCGTCGTTTGCGCAGCTGCTGTTCTGAATTGACGTCTAATTTGCGGCACTTTCGGCACGAGGACGGGAGTAGACAGGTACTTCAAAATCGTTCCGCGTCGATGGAGCTTTTAACGAACGTTTATTTTCGGCAATATGCATGAATAGGATAATTACTGTGCACTCAGACGTTCTCTAGAAAACATTTAAAAATATCATTAAAATGTTTTAGAAAACGTTCCAATTTTAACAGATATTCTCAAATTACTCGCGACAACTCGTGCATGCAAGTATGAACTTACGTAACCAATCTTTACTTGGTATAAACCGTCAAAAGCTAAAGACTTCGGTTAAATTAAACGTAAGACTGAAAAAAAAACCGGAATGTAACATCAAAATTGGTAATATATTTCTGCATAGCGTGAATTAATGAATTAAAATTAATTATCGCGGATAAGCATTTATAATAAATGCGAAAAGAGTATTAACCGTTTATGTCTTCTTCTTGCCTTTATAAAATAATCATGATAAGTTACTTGGTGTGATCATAGGGATGGATATCGCGCCACGGCGCGAGTGTCACGATTTGAATTGTGGACATACCTCTTTGTCCGAGGTGAATAATGAGAGAGAAGAGAGCGCGATCGAAGGAACGGTTTGGCGGCTTAAACGACACGAGGAGATGGCGGGGTAATCGTAGCTTATCTAAGCAAATGAATGTGCGACGTAGCTTCATTTCCAGACTGATGCATTGTAACGAATGCGCAAAGTGTATCTTAGCACGCTAACCGGCGCGATAATAGCCTACTCTGTTACATACGTGGCATAAAGAATCACGACAGTCCGAACGGAGACGAGCGCAGAGACGACGGTCTGTGTGTAATAATAATTAATTATTAGCAATAATATTCGCGAAAGATAATTTTGCAATTAACCGTTAACTCGAGCGTAAAGGTGTAATGTATAAATATTTATTTGCGACACGAAAGCAGCGCCTTTCGCTTTAAAAGCACGCTAATATCTCTCATTAGTTTATCATCGCGCAATAAAATATAAAAAGATTTAATCCTCACAATTTTTATTAACGCGCTCGTTAATCGAAGAATGCCCCACGTTTGCTTCAACATCAGTTTTAAAACTGTGTAATATTTCTTCTTTTTCAATTCAATTTATGTTATATTTATCGTATAACAAGTATAATAAATATGTTTTCCCATGAAATTTTATGTTAAATACGATCGATCTGTTCCAATTTACTACTCTCTTACAAATAGCCTCAAATAAAATTCATGATTATTCATCTATTTCTTAGCGCACATCCTGAACATGTTTCGCTCCAGGGATTATTACGTAAAATGAGGCTTTTTTTCAATTCTAAGAGAGCTAATTGCTCGCATGTCGACCGCGTCCGGCGTCTCACCTGCGTTTCCGTGAGGTGAAGAGACGACGAGAACTCCGCTCTTTCGGCTATCGTTAGGTACTGTTTTTCGCGAAACTTTTTCTCGAGCGATAACAGCTGCTGCGTCGTGAACGGCGTTCTCGGCTTCCGGTTCGGCTTATGCTTTCGGAGGGTGCATCTGACCGGGCCTGGTCCGGGTCCCGGTAATCTCAAGTCTCCTGAAACCAAAGAGAAGACATGCGCTCCGATTAGGACTTTCCATTTCTTCGCGTAAATAATTTTAATACACAAATAAATTGACCTGTTAAGCGAGCTTTAATTCACTTCAGAAAAAATGCAACACTGAAGTGGACATTACTAAAAAAAAAAGTTTATTTAGAGAGCCGGTTTTCAGTGAAAAGCGTAAGGTCAATCCCGCTCTCGTTTAAAATTGCGGTTCGAACCGCTATTCCTCTTTGAAAAAGAGACGAGATGGGGATTAAAGTAGCATTACTCCGCTACTCTCTGCTATCTGCTATCATTAGAGAGAGAGACAGAGATACATTAATAGTGATATTCGCGGACATTTGTATCTGTACTATTAAATACGCCAAGTCTCCACCATCTTCCGTGCACTCATCAAATGATAATTAACCTCGCATGTGCAACGTTAGCCGTTAATTTACGAGCACGCGGCGACGTGTCTCGGCAAGAGACGCGGTTTTCATAGGTTTCGCATATGATGAAGCGATTACCGCGGGTCTCGCGGTACGTACGGAGACGGAGGGACGGCGCGCAAATTAAATCATAAAAAAGAAATCGCGCTCGCGAATGCTCGACGAACGGCGCCTAATTATCGACCAATCATCCCGGTCTCCGTGCATCCGGCGCTTGTGATTATCATCGACCGTCGTTGTTTACGATCGGCTCATGTGCATGCAATTAGTTGGTATAAACTGCGTAAAGTTTTGCCACCTCTCCAACGGTAGCGCGATTACGCCCGACAGCATTCGCGCACCTTGTCATTCGTTCGTAAATCCATTTTAAGCTGACCACTTCGTTAAAATTCACTTGAAAATAAAGGACGAAGAGTGTAACCGTATCCTGTACGTAAGTAAAAGTATATATATATACGTGTAGCGAGGGCTTACGATAACGTGCTATACGAATGTTGTTTCCTTTTTTTTTCCTTTTAGACCGCGATAATTAATATCCGACGTTATAGAGATACGCGTATTTTAAAAGCGACGCACAAGAGACCAAATGAAGTATTGACATCTCGTAAAAATCGCGATCGGGCTTGCCGATAACTCTTCTTAGCGCCCGCGGGCGCTATTCTACAATTAGACATATTATTTCCCTATAACACACGCCGCACTATCTCGCGCCGCATTCAAAATAAGCGACTCGTGTGAGAGGAAGAGTAATTGATATCTCGTGATGGTAGCGCACGTCCCTATACGTCGGCCAGATGCGAACGTTACATCGATCGCGCGACTTTGTGCCGGTTACGCCGGTGCTGGCGCACCATGCCGATGAAAAAGGTCCTCTCGACATCTCCAAGCACGACGAAACGATGACGATTTCGCGACGCGGCGAGGAGGGCGCGCTCGGCGTGGATTCCGAGCACTAATTAACGTTCGGCCGGAGTACAAAAAAGGCATCGGGCCGCCGCCGCGGCATTGTCGACCGGATCACGTCGGGACACACCGGTGTATCGCGTCTTCCATTCTCGTTGCACCGCCAGTTCCCCAGTTTCGCGTGTCGCCCGGGGGAAGCCTTGGCGGGTTCACGCACGTATAACCGATCAATATGTTCTCCCGGGAGGCTAATTAATTTCTGCAAATTAAATACCTATCCGGACGAATCAAGCGGTCACGGATCTACCCCGCCGCCACTTTCTTTCGCCGTTTTGAGAACGGTCGTACATGTGGGTCGTGGACAGCGCGATCTTTTTGCCAAATGCATCACTAATTAGTAATTACACGTTACTGCCATTCGGTGACTTTTTTTTATTCTCGTATTAACATAACGGTGCTGGGAATTTGTGCTGCCTTGCATCAGCTTGCGAGCTAATGGATTATTAATGCGGTTAACACTCGAGTTACAATGTTATTTGCCTGTCTTAGAGGATAGACGGTTCTAACGCGAGTGAAGTGACCGCGATACGCGCGCGCGCGCACGCGTTCGAGATTGCAAAAGGAAATGCGCAAGAAAGACGCCTGGCGAATCCGCGCCGTAGCCTGGACAATCTGTCGTTACGTGTCGATGTCGCATCCATTCACGCGGGTAATATAGCGATTTCATGTCGCTCGTCGAAGTTAGCCATGCCGCGCACGTAACCGATCAATATGTTCTTCTTGACTGCTAATTAATTTCTGTTAATTACCCGACCGCTCTGAAACACGCACGCGAACGCGGCTACATAGCCGTAACGGCCGTTGTCACGCTGATAGGTATAGGCACACAATCCGCTCGCCTTCCATGTAAACTTTTCGGTTTAGCGAAAAGCGCGACGATTAAAAGATTGATCCGGATCGTCGTTCGTTCTAATGTCGTACGGCATTAAATGAGCCCAATTAAAGAGAGGCTTCGTGTGTGGCTGAACCGTAAATTGCTGTACGCACGAAAACCACGAGTTTTAAACTGAGATATTAATATTTAATTATATCGGATTATAATGAAGTGCACGTTATATCAGGCTGTAACGTAAAACTTGAAATTTATTCTATAGGATTATTACAATAAATTCAGATATTAATTGCGTGCACGGGCGTGCTTGAGCGTATGTACAATACTCGCGAATATTTTTACGAGATGCGAGATCCCCAGAAGGTAATTGCAATTCCTTACGCGACCGTCTCGCCCTACTTTCATCAACGGATACCGAGTTTTCGGGGATGTTGAAGAGGGACGCGTTAGCCGGGCAGACGGGCGTCGCGTCGGACCGCTGGAACGGCCGAGGCGGGTAATTACGTCCATGGAATGATGAATCGTCCGAAATATTTTGTAGAACATCATTGGACGCGGGGCGGGCGTCGTTAATTCATTCCTGCGCGCGCAATCCAGATAAATGCGTGCGGGCAGCGGCGTTCGACCGTTATAAATGACGTCCGTATTCATAATTTTCGTAAGCCGCCGCCCAGCGACGGGCCCCGGGATTATCGGCTGTATTACGAGCCCCGTATCGCACCCCCTCCGGAATAACTGTCGGTGGTGAACGGTTAATGGAAATGGGCTAATAAGCTTTTCACTGTCTAATTTTTCAGAAATAACTTTTGTATAGGAGATATGATATTTTAATTTTTAAGGTATATGTATAGGTGCGTGTATATTATTTTATATACGTGGAGAGAATTTCCTTTTAAAAATCCTAAAAATTATATTAATCGTGAGATAACATAGTATTTCGTAAATTTTATGTTTCTTTGTTTTTTTACTGTGTACTACAATAAATTTATTGTATATATTTAAAAAAATAGTGAAAACTGCATAAAATTCGTCAAAAATATGTTGTCCCACGATTAACATGATTTTCAGATTAAATTTTAAAATAAAAATCTCTTCGTGTATATAGGTATACATATATATATATATATATATATATATATATATATATATATTTGTTTTAAATTAAAATATCATATTTTTTGCACAAAGGTAAAAATATAAAACGACGTATCTATTTTACTGCGAAAATAATTAAAGGACATCTTGATGAATCTGGATTATTCGTTATATAATTTCTTCTCATTAAATCCATAGAAGACTTTTAAGTGGGATATAAATCGTTGCGTTTAACTTAATTCAGAACAATATTTTCAAAGTTTATCTTATCTTTCCCAAAATATCACTTTTATTGCGAAAATGCTTAATACTTCGCGGGAAAAATTGTTACAATTAGCTTCAAATTTCTCTGTGAAATAATGTACGATCTACGTCTAGACGCAATTGATTGTACAATGAGTAAATGTTGACTCGCGTCATTCGGAGCTTCTTATCGAAAGTACCGAGAGAGGACTAACAAAAGACGTGGTAATTAACCGAGTTCTCTGTAAGTGAACAATCATCTTCGGGCAAAAGCGACACACTGTCGGGACTGCGATAATCGCGACTGCAATATAGGTGGCGTCGTATACCGTCAAAGCTGCTTCGGCTTCCGTTCTTAAGTGCTGATATAATTGGTGTCGCGTACCAATAGCGGAAAGAAAACGAGGGGGATACAAATCGTAAGAAGTACGCGGGGCGGGCCGGTGGGGCGAACGGTTTGTCGTTATCGTTTCGCAAAAAGCTTCGCCGAGCGACGTCGTACAGGAAGCTGAATGCACGCTACACCAAATTTAACAGGCCACTTTAACAAGAGCAGTTTTTACCGGGCTCCTCTTGAATGCATTATGGATGTCGTGAGTTATATATGACTTTATCATGTCGAACTGTTCGCGATCCCGGTTGGAGTCGGCGCGTCGGACCGATCATCGCATTCTCAGCTTTTCGTTTTCTGTTCGGCAGCGTAAACAGCGTGGAAAACAAGATACGGGAAAATAAGCGCGTATATTATATTTGCACTTACGCATTCTCATCAACTTCGCTATTGTATATATCTTTCTGTTGTCCCTCCCCCTCGATTTACCGTCAATACCGCTTTACGTCGAGCGTTATATTTTGAGCCGGATTTTATTACGGTTGACACAAATGATGTAAATGCGTTTTATTCAATTATGCCACTTTGAGAGATACAGGGGTCCGTGTGCAGCAGTCGGCTTTTATGCGTTCCCATTAGTTACGGGAGATCGCGTGTCTTTCCAATATTCTCTCGTTCTCCGGTTACCATTCACGCCGCTTTACATCGAGTGTTATAAGCGTTACTTTCAATTATGCCACTTTAAAAGATAAAGCAATGCACGTAGCAGGTAATCTACTTCTGTACGTTTATATTGGTTTTACACTCGCGTGTTTTCTTAAAATATTCTCCCTTTTCCAATTTCACTACAAATGTATTACTGCGTTAATTGTTTAATTACGTATTTGAAAAATAAAGACAATTGCTGCGTAAATTTTTCCAAATCCTAATAATTTTGTTTTGCCGCAGGATTAATTTTATTGTTCACGCGCAATTATGAACAAACTTTAAAGATATTATCCGCAATTACATTGCAGTAAAATATATCGCAATAGGTAGTCTTTCAAAGATATCTGTAAAACGATCACGATTCATTCTTCGAAGACGATTCTTTCGCCGTTCCTCGTTAAATGTCCTAGCGGTAAATAATGTCGCGGATCTCGAAGTTCCTGCGAGCGAAATTATATCCACGCGTAACGAGGAACTCGCGCCGTTTCCGAGAAAGAAATCTCTAAAACCATTACGGGACTCCCGTAAGCGAGCATAAAAGTTGACGCCGCGAATAGCGAGGCCAGGTTATACGAGGAGGAGCACTCTCGTCCTTTTGCAGCCTCGCGAGTACCCCGGGCACTCGAGGCGGAGTACCTCGAGGAGTGCCACAATGTACGATTAACCCATTGCGCGGAGCAGAGGTGTCGGTTACACCTTAATGAGGTATTACTTTAATTGTCCATTAGGAATGGACTCAATGTGTAGTAAGGTTCACGAAGTTCTTTACTCACACGAGCAACACGAGTCTTTGCACTTCAACACGTCCCTTTCTCCATTAGAAGAATCTTCCACTCGCTTAGACGAATGGCAATGACTACGAATCGTGGAAGGAACCTACGCGTGCATTGTCATCGCGATCGATATATCACATTTCGATCGTAAAAATCCCGACATTCCTAGATTGACTTAAGCACTTTGTCATGCTTTCTTTTCGCGTCAAAGAAATATAACTCAGTCAAACAAAGTATATATCTGTTCAATTCGTATCTTGTTTACAGCAATTTTCTGCGCGCTAATCTGCGCGAGATAAGAGAGAGCGAGCGGGCGAGGAGCGGTCGGTAATTAATAAATCGCAACTAATTCTCTCGTTTAAGTCGTCGTAAATTATTTATCAGCGAAGTGTTTCCAAGCAGTAGCGACGTCTAATTATCGCGACGTGGAGCCGCCACGGCTTTCCTTCTCGATTTATTAGCCAATTACAATCCATACATCCGCCACCGGTCATGAAACAAGATCTGTATCTCCGTACGGTTCTGATCACTTTTGTACCTGTCCCGAGAATCGCGCGCTGCTGCGCCCCGCTTGCTCTCTCTTTCGCGGTTTCTCCTTCCTCATTAGGCAATTATCGAGTTTTATCTGCGCGCGCCCGATTTTTCGCTCGCGTCACCCCGCTGGTCACTTCTGCCTCCATCACACCAGAGGCGATGGAAAACACATCCCGTCGTCGCCTTTGTAAGCGCCGATCGCGCGTCCTAATAGCCTAGATCGCGAAGCCCGACGCGCCGATCGTATACGTTTCAGAGAACCAATCGCGATCCGTAACACGCGGGGCTCGAGTTCCGCGTTGTGACGTTTGTGAAAAGATCGACGAAGTAATCGAGTTTACAACCCTGTGCGGAACATTGACATTGACATTGAGTTAGAAAGAAAATTGCGGCTCTACTTGGTTGCGCGTATAAAGTACACTCGATAAGTGAACGACGTTAACTCTTATAGTTCTTGGAACTAACGGCTAACCTATGCCTATAATAATTCTACGTCCACAGATACTGTTGAACGGCATTAAAAAGCATTTAACAGTATTGCCGTACAAAATAAAAATCGAAGAGGAGATGAATTTTGTATGGTGACAAAAAGGCAACGTATAATAATTTCTTAAATAATTAATTAAATAATTGACTACAAAAGCTATTCTATTAATTACGAAAGCTATCAATTAATTTTATTTAATTAAATCAATAATAATAAATTTACATCCAATATTTCCGCCGAAAAAAATGTATTCCATTATTTATTGGTCCGTAAAGAAACGCAATAAATTTGAAATTATGGCTGTCATGTATTCGACCGTTCGTTTAAATTAATAACACAAAATCCGTGTATAAGTTCTATCTTAAATTCACACAATTACGAAAGTGAGAGATTATGGAATATAGACTTATGTACTGAAGAATGCAACAAATCATTTTAATCAACGATTTAATCGAGCTGCGGACTGAATTGATATTGGCACGAATATCTATGTCTTCAGTTTAATGATTGCGATAAATTTAAACATGATATGTGTTCGTCGAAAATATAAATATTTATCTCTCGGATTTGCATCACATTTAAGGTCTGTCATTAGTCTTGTTATGCCCGTTAAATCTTTCCGCTCGAGAAGAAATCGTCAGGGCAAAGATATCGTGTCGATCGTGATGGTAGTTTTTTTTTAAGGCCTTAGCTTTAAGCTTCGATCGAGATGAAGGTAAACCGGAGTACGAGTGAATTCTTTGGCACGTAAGACCGATAATGCCCGCCTACTCGCGTGATCCATGGCACTAATGCAGAGCGTTATGAGTCTGCGTGTCATGCATTAACGGTTGCATTAAGAGTTTGCGTTTTCCATCTGATCGCCGACATTGTATCCGGCAGGATCGTAAGCTAAAAGGCAAACACAGCGAAACTACCCCTTGTCTGCGCGTAGATTTCTTATTTAAAATTTTCAGGCGCGACTTATTTTCAGAGAATATTCTTTCGCGGATAATTATTACGATATTAAACTATGATTACGATATGATTAAGTTGAAAGACTTAAAGACGATAACTTTAATTATCGGCATTATTCATATCTTTTGAGAGAAATTCATTTGACAAAGTCTTTAATGCAGAAATCATAAAATATTAATGTGTGTGTTGACATGGAAGTGTAAATTTTACGTTTGTTTATTAATACGTAACATGAAATTTCATACATTCTAAAATACGATAGTCGATCTTAAGCACGATACTCGTGTTAGTTTTACCGTTTGGACTGGTGGGCCCGCCGTGCGGCGTGTAAAGATGTCCATGAGGATTGTGCGGATGCGGAGGTGGGGGCAGCCACGCGAACCCCGCCAGAGAATGCGGAAATCCCGCGGGGTTCCAGCCGGGAGCGCCGGGTGCCCCGGCGAGATACGGCGGGCCCTGCGAGGGCCTTTGCACTCCGGGATGAATCGGCTGAGGCACTACCGGGCTGGATTTCTCCTCCTTCTCCTGGCTGCTCTCCAGGTCCCTCTCCAGCTCGCAGTCCGAGTCCATCACATTTAGATCCTCGGACTGGCCGACGCTTCTTATCTCGTGGTCCTCGAGATCTAGATGATCCGTCGTGCGGTCTCCCTCCAGCGAGCGATTCGCCTCGGAATCGCTACGATCGTCGAGGATCTCTCGTCTGCTCGCGGGCGAGATGGATCTAGGATTGGTGATCCTGTCGATCCTTTCGTCGTCCTCCTGTATACGCTCCTGTTCTCGTTGGATCATCGTTTCGCTCGGCGAATTGGTCGTCAGTCGGTCTCTTGGCATTTCCTGGTCTATTCTGATAGGCGACGACGACTTGTCGTGGCTCGTCCTAGAAAAATCCTTCACCGTAAGCATTTCCTGTCGAGCAGGCGGGTGATCTTGCTCCAATCTGTTCGGGTGATGATGATGGTGATGATTGCCGAAGCCGGCGAGACCGTGAGGACTCAATCTGGCGAGTAGTTCTCGACTCTGAAGTCTCTGCTGCTCAATCAGAAGCTCTCGATACCTCGCCTCCATCTCGATATTCTTTTCGGCGTCCATTCTGTCATCGTTGTCTCGCCTGGACGCGAAGGTGCCGCCGCTGATGGCACTTTTCTTCGTGCCGCTCAGCAAGGCGTCGACGCTGAAGCTGATCTTGCCGCTTCGCGGCTTCAGATTCGAAGATGCTGACGTCGGAGTAGCCATGTCGACGTCCTCGCATAGGCGATCGCTGCCAGAACCTGGGCCCGTCACCACGCCTTCGCCGTTACTCATGCCGGACCTAACCTGTGTCTCAAGTTCTCGCGTCTCAATCTCAAAATACGACTTACTAATCTATCAAACTAAACGTGACAGTCATCCGAAGATGCAAATAAGAAGATCGGTCGGTCGCTTTCTTAATTCCATGTTGGATAGTGTGCCCAATGTCCGTTACACTGCGATTCCTAACGAAACTCCGAATAAGTAGCGTCGCACCTTAAAGTGTCAGCTAACAGTCGTTGCATTAGCTTCTCACGGACGTCCGTTAATGGACGATAGATGTGATACGTTGGCGCGACCGAGCCGCAGGGCATTTTCAAGTGGCGATCAGTCACATCGCGAACGAATTCCTGAACGAAACCCGCTAACGTCGAGGAGACTCTCCAAGGCGCGCACAGCCCGCCACCTTAATAAGTTTCGCGCTCCGTTATTCTTGGAATCCGCCGCATCGCCGCGGAATGACCCAGCCGACACGAGCGGATTCCCCCATTAGAGTCAGAAGAGTGTTCTTAAGGTATCAACATGATGACCCAACTCTTCTTACCTGCTTAACTTTTATACCTTTCGCATCCTTGCCGATCCTCTTGCTGATATTCTCATACGGCAATCCTCTTTTCGTGACACTTTATGATCCTTTCTCTCAGACAGCGTTTAACGGATCTGTATAAAAACATTTGAACGAAGCGCGCAGAATAGAATCTACGCTGTATAATACTCTCTTTGCGAGAGCCGATGTGTCGTGGATGAACCTTACATTGACAGCTTCCGCTGTCATGATACGTGCCAAATATCTACGAACGATTATTCTAATTTCGTCGTGTGTCTCGCTAATATTCTAAAAGACTCTCCAGAATTGCGTTTGTCTCGTTCTAAACTCAGATTCTTCTTCATGACATCATACACTTGGATGTTTATTTCACCGTCAGGTTACAAACATGTCAATGTTCGCGTATCGACGTACAGGATCTTCGGGAACATAGCACGGAAAAATATTAATTTTCAATGACAACAAAGTCCGTTGACGTCATCGACGCGGTCGTCCACGCGTTCTGATTGAGCGTAGGCATCGATACACGATCTCTCCTTCAACGCATCTGGGTTTTGGTCGAGGCACTCGGTTTCTTCGTGCACCAACAACGCGGCCTCTCGCGACCTAGACGGTTCACCAAGACGGTCGAGCGCGTACTCCAGCTTGGGTCGCGCGACGACGGTGAAGACACAAGGTGGGAGTGCGGTGGTCGCCCCGCGAAAAGAAATGTCGGTGGTGGAGTACAAATGTAATCGGTTGTAATCTGTGTAATCTGCCGCGTGGTGACCGCCACTGCCGCGGAAACGGCACTGATTACCAGCTCGGCTGCACTCGCGGCGGAGAGCCCTGCCGGGGGGCTTTCCATTCTCCCTCTTTCTCCTTCTCTCTCTCTTTCTCTCTATCTCTCTTTTCTCGTTCTCGACGTCGCGGTGCTACCGCCGGGTGCGCGCCGCCCCCGCAACGCTAGCAAAACCGGTACCGTAGCCTGGGCTCGACCAATACGCGCCAGCCGACGCACATCTCGGGCGTTTCGAGAATGGGCGTTCTTCGTGGTCGGACGTGGACCAATAGCGGACAACGAGGTGGATCGAAACCCGTAGGGGAAATCCCCTTCTTCCGGTTCTCCGGGACCGCCAGATGGAGCTGGCTGCATCGTCCGATGCCGGAGAGTGCCTCGAGGTGGTGGAGAACGCGGATGGTCGATGGAACGTGGCTGTAGCGGTGGTGGTGGTAGTGATAGTGGTAGTGGTAGTGGTGATGGTGGTGGAACGCGGTGGGACCGAGCGGAACGTGACGACTCCTAATTGTCTAATTCCCGGGCGCGCAATGCGCGAATTGATTGGCAATACGGGTGCACGTGGCTGTGTGCACGAGCGCATGGCTGGGAGGGCAAGCATCCCTCTCGCGTTCGCCCGTACGTGTACGCAAACCGCGCGGCACCTCGTTTCTGCTCTTGTGAGAGCGAGCGATGGCTGATCTAGGATTTATATCATCGGTGATGCGCGATCCCGTCGCTGATATTTAATTATCGGCGGGATTGCGGCATGTGCGTGCTGGAACACGTGACTGGATTTTTCCTCTGACAATCTGGTTTTTGATTGACTGTTTACACTCAAATTTGTGCTTGTAAATAAAAAGAAGAATTGATTTCGGTAACATGTCGTACATGAGATAAACACTTTTCTAGCAATGCTAAGTTAAATATTTATTTTCAGAATGACAAATAAATTATATTTTGTAGAAATAAGTATTTTATCTCAATTGATATTTCCTTCTTTAGATTATTTTACGAAATAGGCTATAATTCTTTCCAAGATATATCTTTAACTATTAAAATTTTTAAATAATTTCTGATATTTTAGCTTTCTTCAAAATACTTTCAATAATTTTACAAAAATTTTCTCATATTGTACTATCGCGATATGCATATTGTTACAAGAATAATTAAATATATGAGTAAAATTAAACAAATATTTACACTCTTTACAAGAATGTTCCACTGATAGGAGGGATGGATTGGAGCGTTCATAATACCGACATATTGAATCTTCGATCTAAAAGAAGGGAGCGCATCGATACAGCGAGGGTGGGGAAGCGCCTGCAGTAAGCCAAGCACACACGCGTGCGTTCTTCTCGCGAGGAAAGAGATATACCAGAAGGCGGGAGCAAGCAGAAAGGGAGAATTGAGCCGTCAAGCATAGGGTTTTTGCCGTTCGCCAGTCACGAACAGGACTGAGGAGACCTCGAGCTACGTACGCGCCGTTGTCTTCTACTTTACGACGCTCTCATTCGAGTTCGTCGTGTTAATGTGTTAAAAACAAACATTTGATTAAAGACCAAGATAGCGAGGCATTAAAGTAGAATTAACTTTTTGCACAACTCCACGAGAAATCCATGCAAAATTTTTTCATATAAATGTAATTAAACATTGTAATGAGTCAAGATGGCTGAGACTTACGGAACCAATTAATATTTAACTAAGATATAGTTCTTTCTTTGATATTTCTCCTAAACTTTTTTAGATACGTAATAGATTTAGTGTACAGAAATTATTTTATGACTATAAAATCGTCTGCTAAACTTAGTATAGAAACTAATAATGATGATGATGTAATTAGAAACATTAATTGTTTCGTACAAAACTGAAAGAGTAAGAGATTTTTCAAACAAACAGATTTGTAAATTTTATTGCAGCATTGCTCATTATACTTTGAAAAATCCTTCATAATTATTTTAATGGTCCAACAAAATTATTTTCAGATCCGTTTTTATCTAAAAATAAAAATTTCAGCGAGGGTGGTCAAAATCGTTCTTTTCCTGCGATATGGTATGTATCCAAGGTCTTAGATATTCTAAACAAGATACATTCAACACAATCGCGACAATACCGCTCGTAATCAGCTCTAGGATGATAATCCGACATCGACGGAAAATAATATAGTGATCCAATGTCCTGATCCCCGGCGTGTCCCATAGGGCAAACTAACTTCGAAGAAAAACTTATTTTAGTGACAATGGTCAAGCCGATTAACCTTTGGAGGATTGCAAGACGTTCGCAGTGTCACATTTTACATCCGATTATATGTTAAACATATATATACCTATTTTTTTCTTAGAGCGAATTTTAAGAAAAAACTCTGTGGTCCTAAAGGTTAATAAAAGGAAAATTTCATCACAGTCGATCGAGTGCATTCATAAGGTTGATTTTTCAGCAGTGTTGTTGCGCTGATGTCACGACGCTTCAGTAATTCCTGGCGATTCTTCTCGTTCTGGACGGATTATGTTACGAACGTTACATATAAAAATATATAATAGAGGGGAGGGGGGTTGAAGGCGATGTGAAATAGAATCTCGGAATCAATTAAGACGAAATGTATTTTTTTTTTCTTAAAACAGCGCATATATCTGGGGTATATACCCTGCATGTTTGTAATCGATAGCTTAAGTAAAATGCTGAACTTTTGTTAACCACCAAACACCGTGACGAGTAGAATGCACGAACGTTTGCTCGCGAACCCTGCATTCGCAGGAGGGGATGTTCCAAGCGCTCCCCGCGATTTGCACATTAACGGGGAATAAACGACGCCGAAATACAACGCGGACGCGCGATCGCCATAATAGGAGCACCGAGTAGTCTATTAAGCGTCCTCAAAACCAGTTAGTGAGTCGGCAATCCAGTTTAGGTACAAAATGGCTGTCGTTTAGCGAGGATTAATGGTCTCGGGAGTGCCCCGGGGCAGCATAATGGGGCAGATGCGTTCTGGATGAGGGGGAACAACCCTCTCTGATCTCTCCTCCCCGCCATTTATATCTCGACAACCTCCGCGCGCTACCCTGCCTCCTCGTGCCTTACCCCACCCCTCCCTTCCCTGTGGCCTCGTTATGTACACCTATCTGACTACAGGCTCCATTATGCCCTTTTTGTGTGATGCTCCACGTACGCCGGATAAATACGCGATATCTGTGCACCTACATACCGACACTTCGAAATTACAGCCTGCGACATTACACGAGCAGCAGGAAATTGTGTGTACCTATCTCTTTCTATTTTACGAATTAAAAATTAAAGTACATGAAAGATTTTCATCTCGCATATAAATAGATTGTATAACGTTACAAATTTTTACGAATAAATCACTTTGTAAGGCTCGAGTCGTGACATAAATTTAGTGTATTTTTAAATTTATATATACGATCATAATGCAAATAACTTCTCTTCTTTGGAGTGTTGGATCATCGTTTATATCTTTTAGCAATTTTCTTACGCAATATACGTTCCAGACAACGGAAATAGCGATGCGCAATAATATCAACGCTAAATTATGCATGCTCTGTCAAGAGTTAATTATCGCTTTATCTCGATTGTGCCACGTCATTTGCTGTCTGAGTACCCCTGGACACCTCGTGTACAGTTTCCATAATCTCGTCTGAACTTACGCAGCCTCCGAGGGGCGGCACGCACGTCCACGTTTCGCGCGCGCACGTGCGTTTGTCGGGTGCCACGCACACGACGTACGCTCAAGCCGAGGATTCGAGCCCCGTATTTGGGCGCCCGAAGCGCCGTTTAGTTTGGCGTTTCATGGTCGGCTGACTCCCCTCGCCGTCTACCAACGCCGCGGTCCGTGTCGTTTCGGTGCTCCTGAGAGAGCCGTAAGTACTCGTTTTGAAATCGGCTCCAGGACGCGCGCGTGTGTGCGCGCGAACGGGTATATATGTGAGCATGAGATGCGCACGCGCGTGTATGTGTACGGGAATCGAATCTCAGCTTTTGTCGAGGCCGCCCTAGAGACGGCGTTGACAGAGATTTAGGGAGTGCAGTTAATGTGGAATTAGCTGCCACGGAAGTGGCGATGCCGCGGCCGTATTATGCCATCACCTGCCGAGGGAAAGACGCTCGGCCATTTTTCGCGGGCCTAATAAGGCGGCACTAATGCCCTCTCGTCGCTTTCTCGCTCTCGCGGGACCTTTAATACGTTGTATTAATGCCGGAATCGTCGTAAAAGAAAATATTTGCTCCGCGATGTGAAAGTGAATCCACGAATCGACGTGGAAACAAATTTACAAAGCGCAGCAGCAGAAAGCGTCATCGGAGCTCGAATTCCACGTAAAATTGTGTTATAGTTGCCGTTATAGGCGTCATAAACATTTTCATTTTATTAGGCTATATATCTTACTAGATTATTAAGGATACATTTTTCAAGAACGCATCATGTACATATTCAGATATCCGGAAACTCGTAAAGAAAATAAGTAGTGTTGCAAGATTAATAGTGAGATTTTTTTCGAAAAGTGGCTAACTACATGTGATTTAAAGGTATTCCAACATCTAATAAGTTTTACTGTTTTCTCAAAATTTTTCCTAAGACAATATTCAATTTTATTAAAACATCATTCTAAAAAAATTAATGTTTTGTCTGATATACATCGCCGCAAAGGCTAAATTTGACAATAAATCTTTTCTGTCGTCCGGTATATTTTTAGAAAATAACGTTTTATGTAATAGAGATAAAAAGATCCGAAGGTAAAAGCCGTAACAAATAGGTCGCTCGACAGACAAATTTGAGAACTCGATTTGGGCATCTAAAATGAAGTCGATTTCAGAAAAGACACCGACACACAAGTTTATCCTGATCAACGGTTTATCTCGTCCTAATCTTGTTTGCAGGATGAACCAGGTCGTACCTGAACTATTTGAGTATCTAAATATTATTTCAGATCCATGAGACACAAAATATGTGAGCTCTATCTTTCCTTCTACGGAATATTGTTTGCGCTCACGGAAGAGCCTTATTATTCTTTGCGTTT